CATTCCTGCCTTTTAATTTCATCAGCTCTCTAACATAATTAGAAAAGGAATGTTAAAACAATTTTCACCTAATCTGAGCTCTCTGTACTTGATTAACACCAATAATGACAGATATGTTTGCTGAGGAGAAACAGTTTTAATGGTTTTCTTGTTTGAAAATTAAGGGTGAGGAGGGGGAGGGGCAGAGCGTCAGCCTTAAATGTGTGTTTAAATTGCTTAAAAGAGGCAGAGTCAGGAACAGCTTTATGCAGAAAAATGTGAATATTTACCATTCCTTCCACTTCTTCGTTAAAGCCATCCACTGGCGCACACTCGCTGGCGTGTCCGTAGCAGAAACAGTTCCCGCGAACCACCATGTCGTAGATGGCATAGTAGTACTTCTCTCTAATCTCCATCCTTGAGTCCAAGAGGTTATCTCCCAGCGTGTGCAGCTTGATGAACTTGACTCTCAGATTTGTGATCTTTAATAGGTCTGCAGGGGACACCAAAAAAACCCTCCGTTTTGGAATTATTTACCAGATATTGTATTGAATGGGAGGAAGCCAGGAGTGACTTCCCAAGCACACTTCCTATGGGCAGATTAGATCAGATTTCATTTCAGCACTTATGTACTATGCATCACATCACTTTGTACTCCCAAATTTTAAAAACTACGTTATTTTACTACAGGTTGTCCACTGTACAAGTTAGTTTAAGCCTAATTAAAAACACTAGTCTATTTTCTTGTAGACATGCATAGGCACAAACACAAATAGTAATGGCAGATGCAACGGTACCACCAAGGAGACACTGGTTCTTTGGGGTTTTAAAATATAAGAGGGGCAGGGACCTGATATTGAGGAACCACTGACAACTGGACCAGAAGCTTTAAGAGTTATGAGCTTTTTGGAAAAAATCCTAGTTGGAAACAAGATATGAATATATTCTTTCTTATACAGCCAACTTTCCTAGCAAATGTAATTAGTTACACTTTGCTGAAAGAAGCAACACCCCATCATTAACCAAATACAAAGAAGTTCTCGAGGGATAACCCATGGGAAGACAATATTGCAGTAATTAATTCAGTCTACACATTCACTTTGATATTACAAATCCTGTGTAATTTCTTATAGCCTTGAAACTAGGCTTGAAAAAGTACTTCAAGCCCATGAAAGCAGCGTTTGTCCTTTAAAATGTTGGTTAAAAAACCATTCAACTGATAGAGCAACTAGCAGACACTCTTCTACTTCAGATATTTTCTTCTGCTCCAGTTAGCTTTACACTGAAGGACAAGAACCGAAACTGAGACTGCATATTAAATCGGAGGTCAAGTTTAAGGCCAAGCACTGCAGTTCCCTACTCAGGCCAAATGCCCCACGAGGTTTCTCTTTGTGCCATGCTCAACAGCAGATCTACCTTTGCATTCCTGGATTGTCATGACCATACATGAATGCTATAGTCACTCGTGTTTTACGACTGCATCTGTGTGGTCCAGCCATGCAGTGCTACCAAGGCCAACCTGTAATTCTGAAGTCATGACTCAGATGTTCTGAAAAATAAAACACGGCCCCCTTGATTTTAGCTAGAAATGCAAAATTATATAAGTGCCTTTGTAGTTCTGTTTCTTTGCTTTCTGAATACTGTACAATTATGGGATCATGTTCCAAGGTTTCTCTTGGTGACTGCATGTCTTTTGGGGAGAGGAGATCTTTAATGAAAATAAGTCCCTGATCAATTAAGAAATGGACCAACTACAATGATGCGTGTAAGAACAATCAATTGCGTTGGCAACACATCATTATTTCCCAGCACGTCACTGTCTGAGTCAGGAAAAGAAGCCATACCACAAATGTATTCATATGACTTTGAAACTGTTATTGGGGCTAATGCATGGCTTCATTTGTGGCTTACTTTTTTGTAAGCAAATAAGTACAGAAATGCTTTCAAATGGGCCTGGAAGGTAACTGTATACATACTTTGAATCCTTGGACTGTACGGATCTTCAATTCGAAAAGCAGGATCTAAAACACGATATATTACCTGGAGAAAAAATGGTACAACAAAAGGTTCAGCTTTAAAAATAAGAGAATCTGAATTTGTATGGAAAAAGTCTATACAATAAACATATTTGAAAAAAAACCCTCTGACCTCTCCCTCTGTTGAAGGTTCAATATCGGAGTATCGGGAATCACAAATGATATCATCTACTTTCTTCATGGGTCCAGTTGAAATCCCAGGAAATGAGCTCTCACAGTCGTATGCAAAATACCTATATACTTGCCATGTTTTTCCAAAATCAGATGATCTTTCTATCAACATTGCAGCAGGACGGAATGTCTAATAGTAAGAAAACCAAAAGAGATTTTATACGGTTAATTATTACTTACATTTACACTGAGCGCTTTTAAGTGTGAGCAATCCACATGTCTGGATTTTAATTTCTCTCCCTGCACTGGGTATTTCCAATATTTAGAAATATTGGAAATATTTTTCTGCTGATATCGCACTTTCTGCTCAGACACAGATCTTTGAAATAACACACATCAAACTACAGCCTACCCATCTTTAAAAAGATGGCACTCAGTGGCCAAGCGCTTAACCATGCTTACAATAAATAAGCAAACTTGTAAGTTTTTTGGATTCCAAATCCTTTCTTAAAACTGGGGGTTAAAGCAAGGCTTTAGGGAGACAATAGGCTTTTTTCCACCGCTTGTGGAAAGCAGCACAGCCTTCTTCCTTGCCATACCTCCTTGCCTAATCTTCTGCAAAGGACCTAATGGGCCTCCTCTCCTGCCTTGGGGACTGGGAGGCCACTTTCAGTGCTCCCCCTCCAGCTCTGACGCCCAGAAGTTCTGGCTGAGCAGTTATCTCTGATACTCAGAAAAGCCCTGGGACTTCCCACCTCTCTTTGTCTGACCACACTACCTTTCGCAGCGTCTCTGCCGCCCAGTGCCAGCCATCCTCTGTGCTGCATTAAGAAAACCTTCTTCTTTAAGGAGATTGAGAGGTTCGGCATCATCCACTCTTGCTGCATTCAACTCCCCCAGTCCCAGTGACTCTACCCCAGCTGGCCTTGCCCAGGCTCCGGCAGGCTGCATTTGCTTCACACAAACCACCGTCCTTCTTACCTACATGTATTCAACTCCAGAACAACTAGCTAATGAGATTTTAAAAAGATTTTTAATCCCTCTGACCTAAAAAATCTCATGTTTTAATTTATGAGCTGCATTTCAAAAAGCAGATATTAATTTAACACCTGGCTTGCACCTACCAAGAAACACCAACAGTCTCTTCATTAGTTTTATGTATTCAGAGGAGGCCCTCCAAGAGCCAAGCACAAAAGCATTCAGTCACAGCTGGAAAGAAATTTTCTTTCTGCTTCCTGACTGAAAATATCACCCGACTTACAAACTGGTATCTCGCCCAACAAAAAACGTAGCAACCCAGAGGTAAGGCAGCTCAAGTGTCTACCACACAAACAAAGTCAACAAATCATCATTACAACTATCTTTCCCCCGCAGTCTTCCTCCTGACAGCAGATCAAGCCCAGCGGCATCAGGGCACGATGGCCACAGCACCCACATCGGGTCAGGGATCTCTTGGGGGTGCCTCGCTGCTGGGGGCCAGAAGAAAGGACCAGCTCCTACCTCAGCCACCACCACGGGGCAGGGCGAGAAACCCAAGCTGATGCCACGGGAAAGAGGAACCAGCTCTCCTAGAAAGCTGACGGGTAAAAATTAGGAGGTTAATTTGTCTACATGCGAAGAGCAGGGATATAGCCCTGCAGGAACTGCAGCCCCTGAAACCTCAGCTGAAGGTTGCCGCTAGCGTTTGCCTGCGATTTAGGATGTACGGGACATAATCTGCCATTCCAAGACATCTGTTTGTATAGAAACAAAGACACTTTGTGCACAGATGTTCCTTCTTCCTGAAGACCTTTCCCTTTGCCAAATGAAAACCAATACCATGGCCAATTTTTTTTTTTTTTTTTTAAGAAAAATCCTTGCTACTATATGATTTAACTAATGATCTTCTAGAACACAACCACCAGAAAGAGACACCAACACAAGCCCCAGCTTCTGTATGACTCCTTCTGCAGCCTCATTGGAGTTCAAACACAACTTCAGCCACAAGTCACAACTCAGCCTTCATGGCAGGAGTTAATATTGGTTCACAGCTCTAAAAAATCAGGCAGAACAGCTCAGACAAAGCCCAAATCCCAAATATCAAATAGATGTGAAGGACTACAAGATCTCTTATTTCCTTGTGTTTTGGGGTTCAGGGTAAGGCTGTGGCTTCCTTACCTTGAAGGTCATAATGAGATGAGTGAAATGAAACTCAGCCTCCAGGTTCAGCTGGATAGTCACGTTTTCCAAACCTGCAGGGGCAGAGAAAAGAAGCTGTGCAGCAGACAAGGACGCCTGCCAGCCTCTCCATCTAAATTTTGCCAAAGCTCTTTGCTCCGGTGACGCAGGGACTCTTTTCTTTGCCACTTGGCTCTGTTGTCAGAAAAGGACATGAGGGTTAGCACATTACTGAGGTATGGGGGAGACACCAAGGACCTGCAGAAGAGCGTATCGCACGTGGGATTCCTGTGCATCATCTGCACCAAACATGTTACGCTCAAAGCATGAGCCTGCAGTGCCGTTATTTTAGACTGCGTAACATAGTTAACATCACGAGATGCAGGGTAAGGATGGGGACTGCTATGGGCTGGATCCTGACACCAAAGCACCCAGTGGCTGGTACAACTGAGGATGCTGAGCCCAGATCCGCGTGGTGACCCCAGGCTGTCCTCACACACTGCAGCCCATCTGGCAGCAACAGAACCGCGAGGTTCTGCAGCCCCAACTCCCCAGATCTCACTGATGGCTGCTGGGGGCCATTTCCCACCTTCCTTCACTCACTCTGGACTCTCCCGTCCATCCAGACACACGAACAGTTCCTTTACATCCTGGTTTTGAAGTACTCCTAAAGGAACTATCACAGTCATGCTTTGCAACTGTTAGGGCTAGGAAACCAGTGGCAAGCAAAAGGTTTTCCAAACTGTTGTACGACTACCTATGGCCAAGGACTCTACACAGAAAGGAAGACAAACAGAAGAAGACAGAAAGGAAGACAAACAAATATTATTTTGTCATGTGAAAAGACCTCTCAGAACAGCTAGATACTAATTATACTGTAGTTAGAAATTTTTAAAAAAAAGATGATTTACAGAGAGGGGAAAGGGTAAGATATGAAAAACCAATAAAGCGCTTAATTTTTGACCAGCTGTAACTTTATGTGGAGCGTGCAGCAATGGTCCCTTCTGCTGTATGCCTGAATAGAAGAAAACATGAATTGGACAGAAAGAATCATTTGTTTTTTATTGTTGAAGGACATTTTCATGACCTTATGAGCTAAGAACTTTTCTGCGTGAATGCTGCCAAGCCTGTTACATGAATTATTTGGAACACTAGAAGAGAGCTGCTGGAGACAAGCAGCTTGCTAGTCTGATCTAAATGGTTAAAAAGGATTTAGTGAAAACCTTTCTTCACCGGGCAGCAGAAATGTTACAAACATTACCATTTTATTTTAATATACAGTAAGACAGCTACTGCCAATGCATTTGCAGAAGTCCCATCCCGTCCAGCTGGCTTTAAGGCTTCAGGGAAGGACTGCTGTTTGAGAAACCTCAGCGCCTTGTTTTGTGTATGAAAGCATGCCAAAAGCATAACCATAAAAGTAAAAAGGGCAGAGGAAGAGTAAAATAAAAGGAACAAAAGCCATCAAACTAACATGCAATTTTTTTTTTTTAACTAGCTGGCTTGTTTCTGGTGTTCATTTTACTGTTTGGCACATGGACGCAGGAACTCGGGGAGCCCAGGCGGGGGAAGGCAGTTTGCAGGGTAGGAGGTGTCCCCAGCTCTGCCCTCCCGGGGTAGGAGGCCAGGGAAACGGGAGGTCTGCGGGCGGGATGGCGGCCCCGGCTCTGCGCCCAAACCTCCTCCTTCCACACCCTCCCTCCAGCCCAGCGCGGGGAAGCCCTGCGGTGCTTCCTTGGATATTTGCTCCTGGAAGGCTGCTCCGCTCCCGCTGCCCAAACATGAGGGAGATCTGGAGCCAGTGTGGGAAACTTCTCTTTAGGAAAGGATTCTTGCAAAGTGGTGGGACGGCTCATTCCAGCACTCCCAGAGAGCTGACAGGGCTTCGTTCTGGATTAAGGACCGCTCCAGGGCACACAAAAGCAGCCAGTTTTACTCAGCCCTCCTCGAACAGCATGATCCTTCACAGGGCAGTAATCAGCAGGCCAGAGATAACAGCGAACCCGCAGGTACCCTTAAACAAAAGGAGGGAAAGCAGCTCCCAGCCCTGGAAATGGCTCCCGGACAAACCCCGTACCATTTTCCGACTGCCACCAGAGCTTCAGGCGATTTGGAGCAAAGGTGGTGACCACGTTTTCAATGCGATGACTATCAGGATTGAGTGTATCATGAAAGGGATCCTCGGAGTCACATATGAAACATTTTTTGTCCTCCTGAAACAACAAAATAATCAGCATTACTGATTTTATCCGTGGGGCAATAGGTGTTTCCTGCAGATAAGAGTATTTTCCATCCATACCACATTCCACTCATTTTGCCTGCAGGAGTCATCAAAGGTATTTCTTTTTGTTGAAATGATAAGTGTATTTACCTTTATGAATTAATGCAAATTGCAAAACGGAAAATATGCCAGGAATTCCATAAACTTTATTTTTAGGAGAAGCATGTTTTCTATCGAAATTGCAGTTTCAGGAAATCTCTTCCAGAGCACATATTCTCCAGCAGAATTCAGAATCAAAGGCAGCATCTACAGAAAATCACTGAATTGCCTCTGTACAAATGTACACATGCAAAACTGCGCCTTCAACAACTTGCGCGAAATCACGTTGGCCTTTGGGAGCTAGCTTGGAGATGCAAGTTCTTGGCATTTAAGGATACCTCCGGTGAGGCTCAATACACGTCAAGGGTCCATCAATGATTTAGTGACTGGGTCCTTTCAGCGTGCGGTTAACTTTACTCTGAATCCAGCTTGTCAATCTCCTACCTAAACCTTGCATCTTCACCTTGGATTGCAATCCCAAGCTACGCACATAAACCCAGTTTGCACAAACTACAAGGTGTGCCCATAAAAAACCCAGCTGGGCCAAGCCTGGCACGTGCTGCTTGGGAAAGCCGGACACGTCTTCACCAGAAGGACAAAACCCCATCATGACTGCTACTATGAACAACGCTGTTTTTACATTGTCCTGGTGCCTAAAACCACTACATTCCAATTTTGCAAGGTAGGATGCGAACCGAACCAAAAGGGAGGGTTCCTGCCCAAACCACCTCAGAGCCTGGCAGACTGGAGGGGGCAGAGGGAGAGGAGCTCATCGCCGCAGCGAGGGAGCCCCGGCACACCAGCAACCCATCACTGTCACAAGCTACACAGGCATCATTCCTCCAGCAGGTTTATGGAGACAAACGTGGTGCTTTATCAGCCAAGAATGTGAGAGCTGGCAGGTCTGCGCCACACAGGCTTTCCATTTTGCTGATTTCGGCTTGGGCGGCTCCTCCCCAGCCCAGCGCTTCGCCCCCACGAGCCCCCGGAGACTCCTCCAGGAGAGAGCAGAGCAAGAGTGGGGGTCCTGAGGAAGACGTCCCCTGCCTGCTCCAGGCTCCTCTCCCCCAGCACCACAGCCCCTGCCTCGTGCCACGACTTGCTCCTTCTCCCACTGAACTCAAATCCTGGAAGGCTGGATCCTGCAAAGCGCTCAGCATGGCCAAGCCCCATGCTGTGGCAAGGATACGCGGCACCTTCCCGCATCCACAGCCTGGCACAATTTTTTTAATACCACCTTATGGTTTGGAAGTAACCAGGGGCATCCCAAACGCTGAACTGGGGCTGTGAGGTCAGGAGCAAGGGCACACGTGAACTCCTGAAGCAATGCTTTTTACTATGGCACTTCAGCATTTTTTAAGACAAGAAAACATAACAAAGTGCCTTTGTTGCTTTGTTCTACCAGGGATGCTAAGGTCGTTAAAGAAGTCCTGTTACAGATGATCCTGACGTACGCCAAAAATGTTCCAGCAAAGCTAAACCCCGCGTTAAATCAAGTATTAACTCTAGCAGATGGAGCAGTACAGTAAAACTAAAGGTGGGGGTGAGATTTGGCAACCTCAGGGCACAAATGCGCTGCAGCCCCTCAGGCAGGGCTCCTCCTGCTTCCCGTGGTTTTCCTTCCAAGCGCCAGAATCCGGCCCTATTGTCTCTGCAGTAAATTCGGCCAGAGATTATCCCTTACTTTCAGGTCAACAGAGTCCCACTTATAACTGATACTTTATTCCTCTCCACCATCCCTTCTGTCTCAGAGATTTTAAGTCTGCTGAGCTCCTTCTGGCGTGAACAGTAACGAGCTTTGTGTTTTCCCCCAGATGTGCGGGACAACCTTATTTGCATCCTTTCATTTGGAGACCATACAAATGTAATTACACGACGGGAACAGTGGCCAAAACACTGCCCGGGTCCCACAGACCATTCTCAATCAGGAAGCTGTCTAGACGGCTCCGGGTAAGTCCGAAAATAAAATATTAATTGAACGTACTGCGGCACATTCCTCCTCATTAACCTCGCTAGGGAAAGGGGGGTCGGGAGCCGAAAGCCGCCGGGGGCTCCCTGGGCCCGGCCCGCTTTGGCGGGGCGCGGGGGCCCGCCGCG